ATGAGTCTGGGTTAGGATACAGGCATGAGTTAGCAACCAAACCATGCCAGGAGTACGGTACACTAGCATTATTGATTAATTATATTAGAGAAGATGTGGATTTCAACTTTCACGCACCATATTTGTTTCTTACTACACCAGAGGCGAAGAATCAGTCTTAAAAGATTATATCCAGCCTAATCTCTATTCTATTTTTTTTATTTTCTTACCAAACTGTGCAACAGAAAGGGACCGTGTGCGCGCGTCTCATGAATTCTCTTCAGCCTCCAGGCTGCTATTGAAACTCACGAGAGCTCAAAACATAGGCGACCACGGCAATAGGCCTCTTCTCTGTCCCAGAGAGAACGACTAGGTTAACGCAATGAAGAGCCCTACCAAATAAAAAAAAAAAAGCACCATAACTGCTTAAGTGCCATTATTATCATTTCTTTAACTATTACCATATAAACCTATCTCCTTGGTATGTTATCTCCAGGTCAGTTTTTTTTTTTTTTTTGAGAGACAGAGTCTCACTCTGCTGCTGGCTAAATAAAGTGCCCGTGGCGTCTGCCTAGTTCACAGCAACCTCAAACTCCTGAGCTCAAGCGATCCTTCTGCCTCAGCCTCCCGAGTAGCTGGTACTACAGGCAGCGCCACCATGCCCTTCTAATTTTTCTATATGTTTTAGTTGGCCCAATTAATTTCTTTTCTATTTTTTTATTAGAAGACAGGGTCTCGATTTTGCTCAGGCTGGTGTCAAACTCCTGGCCTTGAGCACTCCGCTCACCCTCGGCCTCCCAAGAGTGCTAGGATTACAGGTGTGAGCCACCCGCGCCCGCCCCAGATCAGTTTTAAGCCAAGCACATTCTATGCTGACTCCATCACCATCTTGCTTGCGTGAAGCAGGAGGCACGCAACCTGGTTTTAATCTCAGGTCACACAAATTTGTTGCCCTCAAATCACAGAATATGTATTGCAAGAAGAATGGTTGCTTTCCCCCTGATCATTAAAGTATTCATTTGCAAACTATATATTACTAGTAAAACAGATGTTAGGTGTTCCAGGTACCATGCAGTTTAAGCAAATAATTTCATCGATTTCCCTTCAGTTAGGGGTTGGCCCCCTTTGGTTAACAGTTTGTCCAAATAAGTGTCCAGAGAATAACTCACCCGGATCCCAAGCTCTGGTACCGAGGTAAGTTCTGGAATACAACCCAACTGGAGGTCTGGCCTAACTCTAAAGATCCCTTCCGAGCTGAAAGCAATCCCTGCATTTCATGCACTACAACATAAACCCTATCTTTTTGCAACCCACAAAACAAATTTATGTACTCTTCGCTTTTTTTTAAAAGATTTTCATAGGCCAGGCGCGGTGGACTCACGCCTGTAATCCTAGCACTCTGGGAGGCCCAGGCGGGAGGATTGCCTCAAGGTCAGGAGTTCAAAACCAGCCTGAGCAAGAGTGAGACCGGCTCTACTATAAATAGAAAGAATAATTGGCCAACTATATATATACCGAAAAAATTAGCCCAGGCATGGTAGCGCATGCCTGTATCCAGCTACTGGGAGGCTGAGGCAGAGGATTGCTGAGCCCAGGAGTTTGAGTTGCTGTGAGCTAGGCAGACGCCAGGCACTCACATCTACCTGGGCAACGGAGGCTCTGTCTCAAAAAAAAAAAAAAAGATTTCTCATAATATACATTTTTTTCGGCCCCAAATAGTTTTTTTTGAAATAAAAGGAATATATGCTTAAGTCCAACAATATGACAAGATGTAGAATGAAAAGTAAAAGGCCCCTTTTCTTCATCTCCATGCCCACTTCTATAGTCTTACTCGCCAGCATCAGCTAAGATATATATACATTTTTTATTTATACATATATTTTTAAATTTTAGCATATTATGGGGGTACAAGTGTTAAGGTTACATATATTGGCCATGCCCCCTCCCCCCTTGAGTAAGAGCTTCAAGTGTGTCCATCCCCCAAATGTTGCACATCTTACTCGTTGTGGCTGTATACACCCATCCCCTCCTCCCCCTCCCACTATATACATTTTTAACGCTAATTAGAACATACTATTTAATTTTTTTTATTTAAAAAAATTTTAATAATTTTACTTTTCTTTTTTTTTCCCTTCTTGCAGATTTCCTGACATTGAAATGTTTTTTTCATATACCCCATTCTTTTTATTAGATGCATACTATTCCAAAATATGAATACATAATTACATAGCTGTTATTTTAATGATGGTCTTACAGGTTGTTTTTAGTTTTTGGTCGGTTTTTTTGCTTTACAAATAATACTATAATAAACATCTGTGTGTGTTTGTGTATGTATGTAATCATTGTATACTTATGAAAGGATATCTGTGACATAAATCCTAACAGTAGAATTGCAGGGTCAATGTGTGGGCTCATTTTTTATTTTCATAAATACAACCAAATTGCCCTCAAAAAGTTGGATATCGTAAATGTTTTACTCTTTGTCAATTTGATAGTGACATTTTATTTTTTGTTATAATTTACATTTATTTAGGAGTGAAATTGAGCATCTTTTCATATATCAGCCAAATGAATTTTTTTCTGGAACTGCCCATATACTGCATTGCAGTGCCTATTTTTGTATTAAGTCGAATAAGTTACTCACATGTAAAAGTACGTTGTATTATATATTAAGGAAAATGGCCCTTTTTTTGTCTGGTCATATGTTACAAAGTTTGTGGTTTGCCATTTGACTTTATTGATGTATTTTTAAAAATCATAAACAACTTTTTAATATTTATGATTAAACTTAATCTGGTTTTGTGTTAGCCATCTAAAAAAGGGCTTCTTTATTTTAAGAATAAAAAATTCACTGTTTCCTCTAGTATTTTCATGATTTTTAAAATAAATTTTTTATTTTGGAGTAACTTTAGGTTTATAGAAAATATGGGATAATAATACAGAACACAGTATTTTAGGGCCTAAACTTTGATCCATCTGAAATCTGTTAGAAAGACTACAGTAGAGATCAAACTTCATTTTTATTTTATATAATTCACTGAATGATTATTTTAAAAAGTATTAAAATGATAATAAGAACATTTTAAAACGTGATTTAAGTCAATTTTGTTTCAAAATACTTGATGATATACAGAGGTACCACAAGACCAGGGTCTGTAACTGTGGGAGGAGTGGCTTCAGAAAGTTCCAAAACCAGGTGGAGGTAATGGAGTCACAAATTAGAAATAAAATATTGTGATGGTTGATTTTATGTATCAATCTGGCTATGCCATGCTGCCCAGCCGTTTGGTCAAAACTAGTCTAGATATTGCTGTTAAGGTATAGATATGACTAGCAATCAGTCTGAAGAAAGCAGATTACCTGCCATGATGTGGGTGGGCCTCATCCAATCAGTTGAAGGACATAAGAGCAAACACTAAGGTTTCCTGAAGAAGCAGCACTTCTCAAGACTAACGTAGAAACTCCAGCCGCCTGCATTTCCAGATTGCTGGCCTGCCCTTACAGATTTTGGATTTGCTCGTTCTCACAATTATGTGAGCCAATTCCTTAAAATCAATCTCTCTCTCTCTCACATATATATATATATATACACACACACACACGTATGTATACACTATTGGTTCTTTTTCTCTGGAAAGCCCTAATACAATTACAGTCCTTTTAAAAATTCTCAAGAATTAGATGTCCTTCTGCACTTCTGCATGATATCCAGAGAGTAAAATGATTTGCCAGTGGCTGACACAACAGAATGTAGAGGCAGAAACAGAAGGGAGAAGGGCATCCCATACCTTCACGGTACAGCCATAGTGCTGGAAAGGACAGTCTTGTTCGGCTTCAGGACATACAGCAAGGTGTTCCTCCACCTAGGAAACGACAGCCTCAAGCTCTAGAAGCTCATCACCTACACCCCAGCTGCCGGGTATCGGGTATGGCTGCAGCAAGTGGGGGCCGGGGCGAGGTGGGGGCGGTTGGGAAGAAGGGAGGGCCGGCAGAGGGAGAAATGCCTGGAGAGGGAGAGCTATGGTGCAAACTCGGGAAAGCTCACAGGGACAAGGGGAGGGAAGACAGAGACACCGTTATCACGGGTGTCATTTCAGCTTTGAGCTCTTGCCTGTGGGATTTTATCACGCACAGGCCACAATGATTACTAAAACCGTATCTGACATGCTAATAAACTCATCAAGAGCATTATTTACAGTTACCTCCGTTCTTGGATAATCTGCAAACACTTGTTGGGACAGATACGGGTACGCCGGACACATGTTTTCCTCGTGATTTTCTGAAACGAGAAAGCGCGATAAAACAAAGCCAAGGGTTCTCGTTTAAGGGCTCGCAGCGACTACACTGACGTCTCTTTGGGGATGTATGTTATGTGGCTTACTCTCTACGGCAAGTCATGGCCTAGTTCTAAAAAGGATTGACACCCTGGGAGGCCGAGGCGGGCGGATTGCTCGAGGTCAGGAGTCGAAACCGCCTGAGCAAGAGTGAGACCCCGTCTCTACTATAAATAGAAAGAAATTAATTGGACAGCTAATATATATAGAAAAAAATTAGCCGGGCATGGTGGCCATGCCTGTAGTCCCAGCACTTGGGAGGCTGAGGCAGGAGATCGCTTGAGCCAGGAGTTTGAGGTTGCTGGAGCTAGGCTGACGCCACGGCGCTCACTCTAGCCTTGGGGAACAACGAGACTCTGTCTCAAAAAAAAATTAAAAAATTAAAAAGGGGTTGAAGATGTCTGTTTTTCTTCATAAATGAATTCAATTTAAAAATTGAATTTTCCAATTATTCCAAACAGGGAGAGGCACAGGACTCAAGAAGGGGATTGGGGAATCATGGCCACGGCTCCTTCACTCATGCGAGAGGTGGCCACGCTCTCTTTCCACGCCCCCGCCCGTCTCTCCAGGGAGGTCACAGAATCAGGAGGGCAGGCTTTGTCACCGCCTCCCTGACACCCAGCACCTTGGCATCGCTCCTTCCACCACCGCACACGCAGGTGCTCATCGCATTTTTGCCAGTGGATACATGGAGTTCTGCCAGCAGAAGCTTTTAAGGTTTTCGCAGAACTCTCTCAGACAAACTAATTCTTTAGACCTGATTCTGTACAAAAATAAACGCAGAGAGGTTCTTCTGGTATCCTACACTGTTCGCTGTGACAACTCAGGCAGAATTTAGCCTCATAAAGACGACTGTTGTGTGTGTGTATATATATGTGTGTGTGTGTGTTTTGGGTTTTTTTTTTTTTTTTACCTGTAGATTGATGACTACACATCCTTTTTACAATAAAGACATTTTTCCTTCGGAACTGACAGTGCCGCTCAGATGCTCTTTTCAGATCTTTCCGCAGGACTGGCTCCCGACAGTGCTCGTTAGAGCACTGCACAGCTTGAAATGAGCCTGCTGAAGATGTCCTGCAACAGACAGGGGCAGCAGGAGGAGGGAGGATGAGCAGGGCGCGGGGGGTGGTGGTGGCAGCCTCTCAGGGAGGCAGAGGTGTGGGGAGGCTGCTCCGACTGGAGGCCGTGGAGGCCAGCCTTGTGTGGAAGAATCAGGAGGACAGGGATGATGGGGGAAAGATGTGTATGCCACGCTTTTTTTTTAGATGATCCAGCAACATACTCTTATTTCTCAGGTTAGTTCTTGAATATTTTCCTTAGTTTGCCAGCCTTTCAAGCACATTTTTATTTCTTCTGTGCCTCTCTATCCCTATTTTCCGACACAAGAACTGGTCTCCACACAGCAGGTTGGCAAAAGACAGGACGAGGAAAAATGAAGGAAGGAGGAAGGTCATACCCTAACTCAATGAGGGAAGGGAAAGGATCAAGAGAAAGAAAGAGGAAGGGAGAGGTAACTAGTGCCCAAAGGTAGTGAAGGAAAGGAGACAGAGGAAATACAGGCCGAGAGAAGCTAGGGATGGTCAGACTTGTAAAATCAGGAAATATTTGAACCAGAATATCAGAAAACAGTGACATGGAACAGTGTGTCATTCCAGGGGTCTTCACAATCTAGATTTTTTCAAAAGCAGGCATATTTCAATCAAAACCTTTGGATCACTGCAAATTACTGTTGACACTGACACATTACCAAAATCTTAGTGAACTTTTTCTCCCCGCAAAGATCTTTAAACAGGGTTGGCCAAGTTCAGGCTCACAGGCCAAATCGGCCTACCGCTTATTTTTATAATAAAATTTTATTGGGAAAAGCCATTATGTACTCCTTCACATACTGTCCATAGCTGCTTTCCTCTGAAATGGGAAGAGCCTAAGTGAGGTGACCGAGACTGTGTATAGCCTGCAAAGCCTAACATATTACTATCTTGTGCTTTTTTTTTTTTTTTTAACTGTCTTGCTCTTTAACAGAAAGAGTTTGCTGGCTCCTTCTCTGAAGGAAAAGAGAGCAAACAGTTTTTTTTGACAGTGAGATAAATAATATATAGCTGTTCTTCGCCGCTCTGGTAGTAAGAAACAAAATGGTGGTGAAAGTTGAAATCCACATCTTCTCTAAAATTCATTGCTGTTACTACTCCTTGCTCTCACCCAGACAGTCAACACTCATCAAAACTCTGCTTCTTCTAATACCTACACTTTATCTTAGGGGGAAGGGAGACAAGGATGAGGGGCAGATATAAAAGAAACAGGTGGAAAGAAACCAGCCCTTGTTCCTAGAGCCTGGGATCTGGTCACTAAAGCTGTTCCATAGGTCCATTGAATCTCATTTCCTTTGCAGGCACAGTGACAACAAAGTTGGAAAAGAGCCTTGCTCTGGGACCCGACTATTTAAAACAAGTGGCAGAGGACACCCGAAAACACAAAGAAGTTCCATGAACCTCCAACAAAATCCCTGGGTTAACAAAGAAATCATTTACACATTTATAACCTCGCCTAAGGGATCTGGAGGTATGGTGAGAAAAGAATGAATCATCTGAGATACAATGTTCCTAAATGTGTGGGTTGTGAAGGGGAAATTTCAGCAGCCTCCAAGCGAATCTCTAATCTCCCTTGAAGATTAGAGACGCCTGAGTTTTATCCATTCCTAGGTTGATCAAAACTGATACGGGCCTGCCGGGCAGAGCCAATGTCTAGCTTCCCATTTTAACAACCTTCCCAGCTAGACAGTGAAGAGAGCTTCAGGAGTTTCATTTGAAAGGCACTCAACTCCTTCACCTACGCTTCCCTTACCTGCTGGCTTGATCTCCTATTCAGAAGCTTCCCCTTTAAATTACACCCTATCTTCTGTCCTGGTCTGAGGATCCGCCTTAGATCGTGAATCCCTGCCAGGCTGAGGCTGGGCCCACAGGCTGCTGGAAACACCCAGCACGGCACCAGCTGGAAGAGAAATGTTTCAGGCAGGACTGTCACAGCTGTGTCTTTCTGCAGTCATTCTCCCTGCTCCCACCCTAGGCACCCAATCCTTCAACAGTTCCTCCAAATGACATGTCTTGCTGGCTTGTTCTTTTGGCCAGCAGTTGTCCACACCCTCCTTTTGGCTCAGTGATCCTAAACCCACAATTTAAGGTCTAGCATGACATAAGCATGCTTCCACGCCGCTCTGCACAAAATGACCCTCTACTCACCCTCGGCCCCTGTGGTGCTGCCAGCACGGTAGCTAACTATCGCTAGCAGGGAATCCTTGTACCTTACTTTAGCCCGGTAACTGTCACATAAAGGGTTAATGGGCATCACTGGGAAAACATGGCGAAAGGCATTTATATGTTCACGAGTAATACCAACCTGGTAAACGTACCCAGAATTAATCTTGGCTTACATCCGGACGTGTTTCTGAAATACGCTATAATGTGAGACTTCCTTTTGCAGCAATTGTCTTAAAACACTTAAACAGAGAACATTAATATGTCTTCATCGCACTCCAAAGCTTACAGCAATGGTGAACCAATGATATATGTTGGTTCATATACCTCAAAAGTTGAGTGGAAATCTCCAATAGGTGGATGAAATATCCACACCACCACACACTAAAAAAGACAATACGGCTGTCTCTCAGATAATATATCTAACAAGCCACCAAACATACAAGCCAGGGCCAGGAGGCAGCAGCTGCAAGCTTAGGAAAATCTCATGATGAACTGACCCATGTGCTCAGAGTGGTGAGGAGGTGTGGTAGTGCACAAGTAGTGATGCTTTCAGTTCCTGTCCAGGTTAATGGTTTATTATTACTCATCAACTTAGTGTCTCTTGAAGCTTGTGTGGCTTGCTATTTCAGCATAAACCAGAGGTTGGCAAACTTTCTCATAAAGACTCAGACAGTAACTATTTTCAGTTTTTGCAACCCACTGCCAACCATTTCTGTTACCACATTTCAACTCTGCCCTTTACAATACTTTCATGAATGGGCACAGCCTGTGTTCTAATAAAACATTTTTATTGTTGGGAGGTAGAGAAACATTATTTATGGGACACTGAAATTTGATTTTACATTTACCAAAAACATTGCCGTTATTCTTTGTTTAAAATAATTTTCTATTTTAAATAGTTAAAACTTAAAGAAGTTCCAAAGTGTAAGGATTCTGGGATCCTTCTTTTGATTTTTTTCAACCACTTAAAAATGTAAAAACCATTTACTTAGCTCACAGGCCATGGTAAACACAGGTGGCAGGACTGGGATTTGTCCCAAGGATTGTAGTATGACCCCGGATAGTGGTCAGACACACACTGTCAAAGCACAGCCCTCTGTAGCATTTACAAAAACCACATCACAGAAAGGAACACAAAGAAGGAACATGTACATCGAGTATGTCATTGGGAAAGCTTCTAGAGGAGGTTATTATGCTGTATGTCTGTAAACAGAATTTTTTTTTTTTGAGACAAGAGGTCTTGCTCTTGTTGCCCAGGCAGAGTGCCGCTAGGCATCAGCCTGGCTCACAGCAACCTCAAAATCCTGGGCTCAAAGCAACTCTGGCCTCAAGCCTCCACGAGTTGCTGGGACTACAGGGCATGCACACATGGCCCAGCTAATTTTTTGTATATATAATTTTAGTTGGTCAATTAATTTCTTTCTATTTTTAGTAGAGACAGGGTCTCGCTCAGGCTGGTTTCAAACTCCTGACCTCGAGCAATCTGCCGGCCTCGGCCTCCCAGAGTGCTAGGATTACAGGCGTGAGCCACCATGCCTGGCTGTTCCATAACATTTTAACTGATAAAACTTTCTCCCTTCAAGATGCAGCTTGGATGTCCTTCCTTGCAAAGTCTCCCCCAACTCCCCCAGAGCAAACTGCTGCGGCCTCTGATCCCCAGGTTGAGTTACGGCATGTGCTATGAGGCACGGCAACTCACCTGTTTCCATTTCTGTGAGTTTTTCAAGGGTAAAGGCTATGTCTTCCTTGACTCAGTGTCCCTAGCAACAAACAATGTACCGGACATAGGGCAGACGTTTGCTGAATGAACACATGAATGAGACAACCGATACAGAAAGAACTTGGGAACGGCTACTAGGCAGCATGCCTTCTTCCAAAGCTACCACTTAATCAGCCTAATTTTCTTAGAATCTGACCCCAAAATTCACATACCTACTTTAATATGGATCAGACATCATAAAATAATTCACAGTAGTAAAATTCAGCTCCTTCTTTGAAGATGGATGGTTTTTCTTCCCTATGTGGGCTTGAAAAGTCTTATCTTCTGAGATGTTCTAGCAAAATAATTCACTTTTATAACAATTGCTCAATAAAACCAGCATTTGTTGAGGTTACTATGTATGCCACAGGCACTAGGGCAGGCATTTGCACATATAATTTCACTTGATAATCACAGCTCAGTGACATAAGTATGTATGTACCTATTCACCAGGTTGCAAAGCTTCTTAAGGACAGGAGTTTAGATTTACTCCAAAATTTATAAAACCCACAGTGCCTAGAACAGGTAGCCAACAGTTGTTTCATGGTAATATTAATTTAGTTTAAAAACATCAAACACCTACTAGGTGCCAGACATTAAGCAGGGTGTGTGGACAGGCTGTTGAGAGGCAGTCATGGTGAATGGTGAGGAGCACTGGACTTAGGATCAGAGAACTTGAGTTTGAGATTGAATTATGCTACTTACAAGTTAAAACACATCAACATTTCTTTGAGCTTTGTTACTTCATCTGTTGAATGAGGGGACGGGACCCAAAGATTTCAAAGGCACCTTCCAATTCTAATGTTCTACAATTCCGTAGGCAGCCGCTTGCGGCCACGTAGGTAGAAAAAGAGCCGTAGCCTCCCGGTGACTGTATATTTGAAACAAGGAGGAGGAACAGAAAAATACAGGACGCGAGCAGGGGCAAATCCCAGGAAATTCCGATTCCCGGCGCCTTGATTTGTATATTCTTACACCGCGTTGAACACTTTAGGGCGGCGGCTTCTGTCGAACTGGCGGCGCCGCGAGCCGGGT